AAAATTGTCCGTGATCGACATTTCCGTCAAGAATGAACTTAAGAAAATCCACTGTTGAGGAAGACCCGTTTAAAAATAGCTTCAGTTCAAAAGACAGGAGTAATTCAAGGATAAATGTCGAAGAAGCAAAGCCGAGAACGGCACCTGCTAACGCCCTCAATTTGAGAATCCACGCAGTGAGGAGCCAGTTGCAGAACTTGAGGTATCAGGTGCAACGAGAGAAGATGCTCCTCGAGGCAGAAAGGAAGAATATGCCCTGCGGTAATTTTAATAAGGTAAATTCTATCACAACAAACCATTATTACGTGTAGGTACCTTCAACACTATGACTAGCCCAGTCCGTGGAAGTAATTTTGCATTTTCTCATTTTTTGTTGGAAAAAAACTTCCCCTACAAGGTGGTATTCTTTAATTATTAAAGAATTTCGAAGATCAAAATGTTTTTCAAAATTTGTTTGATTCAGGACAAAGACGGACCGCCGTCGGATTATCCCTCCCCTTCAAACCAACCGCCACCCAAGGTCGACGTCGTGCAGGAACATCCGGCTCTGTCGGCGCCGTCCAGGAGACACCTGGAAGACATCGAGAAACAGTGTGATCTGGAGCTGAACAAGCTGCAGAGTTACCTGCGCAACGTCGGCGAGCTGAAGACCCACTGGAAGCGTCTCATGATCAAGAATCAGCTGGGGCAGTTCCAGTCCACTGATGAGGTGAATCAGGGCTTGGGGGAATTTCGTGAACCCCACGTTGGGAGTAGGTCCGAGAATTATTTAGCTTAGTGCAAGATAAACGCTCTGGCGAGGCCTGAAGGTAGCTATGTAGGTTATTCTGTAAGAAATTTGCTAGGAAATACATTATAACTATATTTACAGGGTAGTTTTTTCACTTTTAATTAAATGTATATGTTTTTTCAAGTGCAGATTTACCAATTTCCCGTCAGGAAAACATTGTGAACCCACAGCTCCATCCTTCGCGAAAGCAGCCATTACATTTCTGGCAATAAACGTATGTCACGAGAGCGAACAATCCCGCATAAGTTCGCGTGCGTAGCTTTAGTGTTTATTTTATAGCCCGATGAAGGCGAAACTTACAACCCCTGCGACTCCACTAACTGCACGACATTGCTTGTAAAATTTTCGAAGCGCCAAGAAAATATAATTTTCGTTTGCGTTTCTTTTAGTTCCCTCAGAAAAAGCTTTGGTGCCTCCGCGAAATAAAAAGTATCCGCAGACACGTGTTTGGATTTTCACGGCGTCATCTGTTGTACTTCCACTTACCGCTTCGCGATTCATAACCCTGGGGGGGCGTAAATCTGCCGCGTGAACCCCTAAATTTTCGGGTGTCACGTAAAGGGGGTTAAAAACCGTCGCAAAAACTACGTGGAGGTGTTAGAGTGGAATGATGGCCCGCATGAAGAAGGCCCCCAGGAGACAAATGCAAATGGAATTAGTGCCGTAACTTACTGGGGTACGCGGAACGCATCCGAATCAGTCCTTGTTGATGTCGGAACCGTCGCAATTAGCCGCTGATTCCGCTTTTGTTAAAGGAGGAGCTTGATTTCCTTGAGATATATTGTCTTTTTTTTTCAGCCCATTCGATCAAATGATTTACGGTACATTATATAAACATTATTCTGGTGTCCTTGTTCTTCCAAACGGATGCGAATCAAGCAGTGTTTACTTTATGAAAATGTGTTCCATCAAATAAATTCGTTTAGTTGTTATTTTTACGTGTTTGATAATATAATTTTCTGCGTCGATTTTCTTAATTTAGTAGTTTGGTTATATTCGTTAACTTTGATATAAAGAATGAGTTGAACTTACCATTAATGCTCCTATTCTGTTTTAAAAGGAATCGATCCGCACCAGATATTCGAGTGTTGTACAAATGGCATCCCCGATTAATGGATCGGTTACACTTTTAAGTACTGTTTACTTCGCGGCTATTTGTTCTTGAATTTCGTTCGACTCTTAATTCCTCAGTTAATTGCATTTCCCGGCAAAGCTGTTCGTTATTTCCCGCGATTTAGAAGAAAAATTCCCCCGATTTCTCACATAGGGACAAACGAGATTGATACGGGTTCTTAACACTGTTCCGGTTCTCTTAAATTAATTTTTTCATCAAAAGTCGATATTTTAGTTACATTTTCAGTTGATAAAGTGAGTCTTTTCTGTCACCTACCTGCAAAATACTTTTATGTTCTAGAACGCCAAAGTCTTTTTCGTTCTAGAACATGAAACAAATGTCAAAATAATTTGTAACTTTTTTCAAAATTTATTTACGATTTTATTAATTGAACAATATACATTTTGAGTAATACAACATATCAATACAAAACTAACTATTATGAACAGGTCAATTACAGTTTATTTTGCACTACAAGTAAATTGAAAGTGCCGATATCGTATTGAGTTAAATTTATGCCAGATCCAGTGTTGTCAGTTATCGTAGCTTTTAGTTATGTTCAGGGTACTTTTTAACTTGGAATACACTGACCATAACGTCGAAAGTTCAATTTTATTAATTTTATGTTCGAAATATGCCAGTAACAACACTTTTGGGATTTTCTTCTACACTACACCACCCTTTAAATACGTCGTAGGCAATTTCGTACTGTCTCGAAGATTTTTTGGGGATTCATTGTGAAACAGCACTTTGTGCAGCTTCCGATACTTCCCCTGGTAAATACTCGACTTCACTTTCCGAGCTCATTTTGAATCAAACACTCTTAGAATATGAATTACAATATATAATTCTGACACTACTTATTTCCATTATTTTTATCACCACATTGAGTTTGCGATGTGGCAGCCAGCTCCTTGGACAAAACGGAGACCTTACGGCCGCGAGTACACGCATAAATCCTGCTGTACGGCGGATGTAAACAAGGAAGGTGACGGGAGAGTCGACCCCAGCTATTCATCCCCCCGGTTAGAGGGTCGTTAAATTCCTCCATGTTTACCCACCCCAGCTCCCTACAATACACTGTCTTTGCATAACAATAACATCGGGATTAGAGGACCTTAACAAATTAATTGTGGAGCTACCAGGCCGAGTGCGTAGACGGGGGTAGGCGAGGGGGGGCGAGGGGGTTTAACGAGTTGGCTTTGACGTCTGGTAAGGATTTTTGTGACGTCTAACGCGGAGTGTTATTTCTGTACTACCGAAAGGGAGCTCTCGAATTATTATTTAGATGGATGTTTTCTTTCGTCGGGCCGTTCGGGAATTATGCCCAGCCACCTACGATTCGCCTATTTGTTAAAGCATAAGCGAATAAGTCTGGGTTACGCGAAAACAATTATTTTTATGTACACACTTGGAGATGAGTTTGTTGGTAAATAAAAAGAAATTTCAATAATAATTGAAACTGTTTAAACTGCGGAAAGATGCTTAAAATTAATATAATCAAAATTGTTAAAATTTACCTATTGAGAACCCCTGGAATCGTTCCTTAGTTGCATACTACATAGAAATAGGCGAACAGGTACCTTTAACTGTTTTAAATTCATGAAAAGAGTCTGATGTGGTGTTAATAATTGCAAATAATCGCGACTGCACATCTTTACAGACAACTATCGGTGGACTCAGCGGTTCCAAAAATGTTTCTTCGTTTTGTATTATTGTTTTAAATCAACACGTATTAAAAATTCCAATATTACCCTAAGGTACATTTTGTTGTCCAAACGTAGTTGATATATTGCCACATATTTATTTTTGCCTAGAAAAATATGCCTACGTATATTCTACCAAATACATTAGTCAAGAAAATAATTTTTCCGCTGCCTAAACCTTATACGTTTTTGTTATTGTAACGCTCCCGTAAAAACGTATACATTTTTATGAAACTTAATAAAAATATATGTTTTGCAGCTATTATAGTAGCGTTTCCAGTATTAACTTTTACAACATAACTGTAAGGGGCCTTTTATTAAATATTAAATCTTCGTAATATATTTTACATGCTCATATCGAATTTTAAATGTAATAAAGTGTATAAAAAGTCCAAACTACCTTTTTATTGCACTTACACAAGTAAAAGCGTGTGAAAAGTAATAAAACTAAATGACCAATAAATCCAAATCAATAAAACGTCTACTCGGATTTACTTTAGAAGCTAAGAACCTGGTGAAAAATAAAATTTTACAGCCCAATGCCGTCGCTTTAAAGGTGTTTTCATAATGGATCTCCACCATTTAAGAGAATAAATTTCACTTGGCTCGAAGTTCGTACGTTTATTTCTATATATAACGCCTAAAAGACCGAAAACATTTACAGGGGCACTCGGTAAATTTATAGGGCAGATCATTTTTTGATGGTTTCTGCACACTAGGACTCGATAACATAAAAAAATCCCAAAGCAAAAGTTGTTTGAAAGGATAAATAATAAAACAAAGCAATGTTCTTTTGCCATCTCGCATATTCCAATCGTGTAAACAATGGCGTGCTACTCTGAAGCTATTGGTCTAAACGGGTTGTATAATAATCCCCACTGCACACGCCTCTATACAGAATCGGACTTTACATTGTGTAAGTAGTAATAGTATTCATTTCGTGCTTATCATTCGCGACTCATTTTGATGCTGTTTTACGTCGCTTGGCTGAATAAAAAAATGCGTTTCTGTCTACTGTTATATTCATCCAGGAAATATATACGAAGTGATGTTACGAAAGCTATTTTTGTGAAGATATATCAAACAACTTTCTTATATAGACGGAGTTAGATCTTTAACTGGCCATTTCGTGAATACACGAGTATATTTTATACGTAAAAACATTTCTGATATGATCGACATGTTCTCTAACTTTGCTCGTTCAAGGAATATTCGACAATACTCCCGTCTCTTAATTTATTATTCATAACCAACTGAGTTTATTTTTAAAAAACAGTCGCGAGGCCCTGACATACCCAGGTGTGCCGTTTGGGTCCGCCTTGAAATCAAACTCATTTCCGCTGACAATTTCCATATCGGACCAGAAAAAAAGACGTTCGCAAAATGCACGTTTTCCGTCTCGTCGACGTATCGCGAAGGTACGATCGATCGCTCTGGGAAAGCGCGATGCTTGTTTACTTTATCGCGACGAATTATTTGACTTTCAAGGTAAAACTGTTCGAGGGTGGCAAGAACGGGGCCCGTAATGGGAATTTGTCCAAGTTCCTTATGATGTATGGACCAGCCTCTGGTCGTAATCTCGGGAAAGTAGTAATGAAATTCGGAAAAGCGTAGAAACTTAATATTTTATCTGCGGCGGCTTAGAAGTTACGGGCGACTCGAAAATTTGCTGACAACTTTTGCATTTTCCTCGTTCGTCCAGATTATCGGCTTTTCACCGAAATAATCGCAAAAAAATTGTGAAAGTAAGTGTACAGTACCTCGTTTGTTGAAGCAGTGGTGTTTCGTGCTATATACAGGGTGATTTAGAGTCAATGTCGCTCACAAATTTCGGAAAAAAGATGTCTGACGAGTTATATTTAAAATAATTACGTAATTATTAACATGCATGTAGCTCCAATCGATTTAATTTGGCAAGTCTTAAAAAACTTTTTTAAGACTTTCAAACTACCTGTATCTATTGGAGGAGAGAGAGAGGGGAGAGAATAAAAATCAATACAGCACAAAATATCCAACATTTTTTTTTAATCCATAATTTAAAAAGTTGTACCTAACAAAAAAATAACTGGAATTTATGAAATATTTTATTATTTCTAATTAGTATTGCTAATAGTAGTAAAAAAAATGTTGGATATTTTGTGC